GCTCATCTTGCCATATAAGACAAGTGAAAATTTGTGTATGCAATAATTTCGCCAAAATCATTCAGAACCTAACGAAAAAAATATATTTCACTGTGTTTGTTTAGTATTAAATTACTGTATACAAATCTAAAATATATTTAGTTGGGTTAGGCTAAAATAAATTGCGCTTGTTATAATAAGGTTAGGTAAGTTTTCTAAGTTCCTTTTGGTGCAAAATTATAAATTTTTACATCAACATTAATGAAAAAAAATATATCTTTAAACGTATAAGAGAAAATTTTAGAAAGGACTAAATTTTAAATGAGTTCTTGCTAATTGACCAGTTTTACATATTCGGCACGACATATATATATATATATATATATATATATATATATATATATTATATATATATATATAATGTGTGTGTGTGTAATATATCGCAGGCAGGCGTTAGGTAACACTGAAGCGTTACAGGCAGGTGTTAGGTAACATTTTAGCGTTACAGGAAGGTGTTAGGTAACACTGAAGCGTTACAGGAAGGTGTTAGGTAACACTGAAGCGTTACGGGCAGGTGTTAGGTAACACTGAAGCGTTACGGGCAGATGTTAGGTAACACTGAAGCGTTACCGGCACATGTTAGGTAACACTGAAGCGTTACGGGCACATGTTAGGTAACACTGAAGCGTTACGGGCAGGTGTTAGGTAACGCTGAAGCGTTACGGGCAGGTGTTAGGTAACACTGAAGCGTTACGGGCAGGTGTTAGGTAACACTGAAGCGTTACGGGCAGGTGTTAGGTAACGCTGAAGCGTTACGGGCAGGTGTTAGGTAACACTGAAGCGTTACGGGCAGGTGTTAGGTAACACTGAAGCGTTACGGGCAGGTGTTAGGTTACACTGAAGCGTTACGGGCAGGTGTTAGGTAACGCTGAAGCGTTACGTGCAGGTGTTAGGTAACACTGAAGCGTTACGGGCAGGTGTTAGGTAACACTGAAGCGTTACGGGCAGGTGTTAGGTAACGCTGAAGCGTTACGGGCAGGTGTTAGGTAACGCTGAAGCGTTACGGGCAGGTGTTAGGTAACACTGAAGCGTTACGGGCAGATGTTAGGTAACACTGAAGCGTTACAGGCAGGTGTTAGGTAACACTGAAGCGTTACGGGCAGGTGTTAGGTAACACTGAAGCGTTACGGGCAGGTGTTAGGTAACACTGAAGCGTTACGGGCAGGTGTTAGGTAACACTGAAGCGTTACGGGCAGGTGTTAGGTAAACACTGAAGCGTTACGGGCAGGTGTTAGGTAACACTGAAGCGTTACGGGCAGGTGTTAGGTAACACTGAAGCGTTACGGGCAGGTGTTAGGTAACACTGAAGTGTTACGGGCAGGTGTTAGGTACACATGAAGCATTACGGGCAGGTGTTAGGTAACACTGAAGCGTTACGGGCAGGTGTTAGGTAACACTGAAGCGCTACGGGCAGGTGTTAGGTAACACTGAAGCGTTACGGGCAGGTGTTAGGTAACACTGAAGCGTTACGGGCAGGTGTTAGGTAACACTGAAGCGTTACGGGCAGGTGTTAGGTAACACTGAAGCGTTACGGGCAGGTGTTAGGTAACACTGAAGCGTTACGGGCAGGTGTTAGGTTACACTGAAGCGTTACGGGCAGGTGTTAGGTAACACTGAAGCGTTACGGGCAGGTGTTAGGTAACACTGAAGCGTTACGGGCAGGTGTTAGGTAACGCTGAAGCGTTACAGGCAGGTGTTAGGTAACACTGAAGCGTTACGGGCAGGTGTTAGGTAACACTGAAGCGTTACGGGCAGGTGTTAGGTAACACTGAAGCGTTACGGGCAGGTGTTAGGTAACACTGAAGCGTTACGGGCAGGTGTTAGGTAACACTGAAGCGTTACGGGCAGGTGTTAGGTTACACTGAAGCGTTACGGGCAGGTGTTAGGTAACACTGAAGCGTTACGGGCAGGTGTTAGGTAACACTGAAGCGTTACGGGCAGGTGTTAGGTAACGCTGAAGCGTTACAGGCAGGTGTTAGGTAACGCTGAAGCGTTACGGGCAGGTGTTAGGTAACGCTGAAGCGTTACGGGCAGGTGTTAGGTAACACTGAAGCGTTTACGGGCAGGTGTTAGGTAACACTGAAGCGTTACGGGCAGGTGTTAGGTAACACTGAAGCGTTACGGGCAGGTGTTAGGTAACACTGAAGCGTTACGGGCAGGTGTTAGGGTAAATTGTTCCCAGGAAACAGGAAATGATAAATTAGGTTACTTCATTATGGCTTCACTTGTGACCCCTGTGTGATCCCGGTATTGTGACCCTTGTGTGACCTCAATGGTGACTCGTGACCCTGGTGTGACCCGTTTTATGATCTTTATGTTACTGTGTCCCCAGTGTTTTGACCCTGGTTTGACCTCAGTGTTGTGACTCTAGTGTGACTCCAGTGTTGTGACCCCTGGTTGATCGGTGACACCAAAACTTTGACCCCTGTTCTTAGGAGCTGTGACGCTGGTAATGTGACCCCTGTGTTGTGACGCAGATGCTGTGACCACCCTTTTGTAGCGCTGACACTGTGACCTCGGTGCTGTGGCACTGTTGTGACCCTGATGTAGCACTGTTGTGACCCCAGTGATGTGATGCTGGTACTATGACCTCTATGCTGACGCACTGGTGTTGTGACCCTGATGTAGCATTGTGACACTAGTGTTGTGACGCTGGTGTTGTGACCACTGTGCTGTGACGCTGGTGTGACCCCAGTGCTGTGACGCTTGTTGTGACCCCAGTGCTGTGACGTTGGTGTTGTAACCCCAGTGCTGTGACGCTAGTGCTGTGACCCCAGTGCTGTGACCCCAGTGCTGTGACGCTGGTGTTGTGACCCCAGTGCTGTGACGCTGGTGTTGTGACCCCAGTGCTGTGACGCTGGCGTTGTGACCCCTGTGCTGTGACGCTGGTATGACCTCGATGCTGTGACGCTGGTGTTGTGACCCCTGTGCTGTGACGCTGGTGTTGTGACCCCTGTGCTGTGACGCTGGCGTTGTGACACCTGTGCTGTGACGCTGTTACCCCAGTGCTGTGACGCTGGTGTGACCCCAGTGCTGTGACGCTGTTGTGACCCCAGTGCTGTGACGCTGTTGTGACCCCAGTGCTGTGACGCTGGTCCCCTCAAGGAAGGTTCCTTGATGCTGGTGAGGGGCTCTTGATCTAAGGAACTGGATCTGTGCTCCAGTTCCCTGAGTTAAACCTGAATACCTTCCATCCCTCCCCCAAGCACTGTATAATCCTATGGGTTTAGTGCTTCCCCCTTGATTATAATAATAATGTGACGCTGGTGTGACCCCAGTGCTGTGACGCTGTTGTGACCCCAGTGCTGTGACGCTGGTGTTGTGACCCCTGTGCTGTGACGCTGGTATGACCCCGATGCTGTGAGGCTGGTGTTGTAAGCCCTGTGCTCTGACGCTGGTGTTGTGACCCCTGTGCTGTGACGCTAGTGTTGTGATCCCTGTGCTGTGACGCTAGTGTTGTGATCCCAGTGTTCTGACGCTGGTGTTGTGACCCCAGTGCTGTGACGCTGGCGTTGTGACCCCAGTGCTGTGACGCTGGTGTTGACCCCAGTGCTGTGACGCTGTTGTGACCCCAGTGCTGTGACGCTGGCATTGTGACTCCGATGCTGTGACGCTGACGTTGTGACTCTGACGCTGTCACGCTGGCGTTGTGACTCCGATGCTGTGACGCTGACGTTGTGACCCCGAGGCTGTGACGCTGACTTTGTCTTACGCTGGCGTTGTGACCCCGACGCTGTGACGCTGGTGTTGTGACTCCGATGCTGTGATGCTGGCGTTGTGACTCCGATGCTGTGACGCTGGCGTTGTGACTCCGATGCTGTGACGCTGGCATTGTGACCCCGATGCTGCGACGATGGTGTTGTGACCCCGATGTTGTGACGCTGGCGTAGTGACCCCGATGCTGTGACGCTGGTGTTGTGACCCCAATGCTATGACGCTGGCGTTGTGACCCCGATGTTGTGACGATGGTGTTGACTCCAATGCTGTGACGCTGGCGTTGTGACCCTGATGTTGTGACGATGGTGTTGTAACCCCAATGCTGTGACGCTGGCGTTGTGACCCCGATATGACGATGGTGTGACCCCAATGCTGTGACGCTGGCGTTGCGACCCCGATGTTGTGACGCTGGCGTTGTGACCCCAATGCTGTGACGTTGGCGTTGTGACCCCAATGCTGTGACGCTGGCGTTGACCCCAATGCTGTGACGATGGTGTTGTGACCCCGATGTTGTGACGCTGGCGTTGTGACCCCAATGTTGTGACCCCGATGTTGTGACCCCGATGTTGTGACCCCGATGTTGTGACCCCGATGTTGTGACCCCGATGTTGTGACCCCGATGTTGTGACCCCGATGTTGTGACCCCGATGTTGTGACCCCGATGTTGTGACGCTGGTGCTTTTTTCATTTGGCCTTCTACATCTATTAAAGGTCGAGCCATTGTTGTTAATGTTACAAGTTATTTTAATTCCATGTCATGTTTACGACTTGCAACCATTCTATCTCTCTCTCTCTCTCTCTCTCTCTCTCTCTGATCTCGGTTTTTAAGTAATTTTTAATATTATACAAACCTGTGTTTGTAAACACAGAAGTGAACGTTTGGGTCACACAAGATAGTTTGATTCTCTCTTTAACGCTATATTTTTTGCATGCTAATTTGTTGTTCTCGATAAATGACAAGACGGGTGGGGGATCGAACTCATGGCAGGAGAGCCTGAAAATTCCTTGGTCAGTGCGCTAACCACTGGAGCAGCTAGCTCGATACAGTTCAACACAGTTACCTTCATTAATATCTTTACACATTTGAACTAAATGGTAATGAATATAACTATATTTTTTAAAGGGGTGGACCGGTAAGCCAGATGAAGGCCTCGGTCAGATGACCAAAAGTTCAAACGGCGCGGCGGGTCATCATCTAAGACCCACATCAGGCAACACTTGTCCTGTTTTCTGACAAAACTTACCTAACCTCTACGCAGTTGATTACAGTCAGCTTCTCTCTAGAAGTGTGTTGTGTCGTGGTCACTGTTAAGACACTTAAGTGCAGACAAAACATTTATTTAGAAATAGCACTTCGTTTAGTGATAAACTTATCAATACATGACACATGCAGCACGCAGTTATGTACGGGAAGTTGTTGAGGTGATGAATGAGAGAGTGGTGACATTGCTGGGTCACTTCCTCGGAGTATGAGACATTTCTCCAATATTTGGGTATCTTTATCCTCGAAACGTTTCGCCAGCCAGTGACTTCTTCAGTCCCATGCAGAGAAAGTTGGAAGACGAGGAGGAAATTGAGGTAATCATTGTCTCAGCCACGCTGAGATCTGTATCTCAGTTTAATATATTTAGTTCATGGATTACTTAAAAGCGGTAACACTTCTCTATCATACATCGACCTATTTATATTTATTTTACTTGTACTGTCATGTACCAACTCACCACTAGAAAAAAAAAAAGTCTGCCAGTTAACTAAGCCACAAGATAACAGAAATGTATACATGTTTCCGGAGATATTGCCTAAGATATTAGATATTGTATCTATGACCTCACTCACAGACCTGCTGTCTGGGTTCTAACCCTTGTGTTCCATATTGATTTGGGATAGTGACTAATACAATGAGTAATACAGGGCCTGGGGAATGAGAAGTAATCAAGGAAGGGGAAGGTAATTCCAATTCCTTTTCCTTAGATAGAGACCCTTTCTCCAGCATCAGGGCATCCCCTTGAATGGAATAGTAATTCGATAATCACGAAATACAGTTGTCGGTTAGAGGTACGGTAACCGACGAGGGATGGTTGACGTTGCTTCAGAGATCAAGATGTTCTTGCTAGAAAGCGCGCACTCGCTCCTTGATTGTGTTGACCATAGTTCTGAGTTCGATGAAAGACGGTCGCTCGTGTGGGTTCATTTTCCAGCAGGCTGTCATAACGCTGTACACGTCGTCTGGACACTCACGAGGCTGACGGTTCACTTTCCCGTCCTGAATGAGGTCTCGCGCTTCCTTCCCACTGACACCTGTAGTGACAATACAAGTGAAGGTTAACTTACTGTATAATGTTGACAGTAAACTTACTGTATAGTGCTAAAAGTTAACTTACTGTATAGTTTTCGAAGTTAATGTTCTGTATAGTGTTGAAAGTTAATTTACTGTATAGCTGTGGGAAAATTCATGCAGCTTTTGATTTCCCGAGAGGTTAACCTCGCTAAGTGGAAGGGAAGGAGGGGGTGACTAGCAGACCCACTTCTGCCTATAAGTGGTGCCACATTTCTTTATACACTCCTAATTTGTAAGAATAATCTAGTACTTGAGCCTCCATAGGTTAATGTATTATGCACTTCTACTGTATACGTAATTAAGTTAGGTTAGCGTTAAACTTAGAGTAATCTAGCTTAGTATCTACAACCTCTCACAACCTACACAATTGTGAACAGTAGGCACTTGTTCCAACCAGCCACGAGTGCCACTGCCTAGTGGAGCGGCCAACTCCTGTCTACCTGGCAGTCACAAAAAAAAAAAAAAAAACCTTAGGCGCAAGTGAAGCCGGTGACCAAGAGCTGCCCAGTTGTGCAGATCACTTAACAGCCTAGTTAATTAGGACGACTTATCCTACGCCTGACTCAGGTGCAGTGAAGTACTCTTAACGAATCAGATAACATTTCACGGCAATAAATGGCTACCTGGAGACTTTTCTGGAGATCAACGCCTCCGCGGCTCGGTCCACGACCAGGCCTCCCAGCGGATCAGGGCCTGATCAATCAGTCTGTTACTGCTGGACGCACGTAGTCTAACGCATAGCCCGGCTGATCCTGCACCGACTTTAAGTATCTGTCCAGCTCCCTCATGAAGACAGCCAGGGGTCTATTGGTAATTCCCCTTATGCCTGGTGGGAGGCTGTTGAACAGTCTTGGGCCGCGGACTCTTAGTGTATTTTCTCTTAGTGTACCAATTGCGCCCCTGCTTTTCATTGGGGGTATTTTGCATCGCTTGCCCAGTCTTTTACTTTCGTAGGGAGTGATTTCTGTGTATAGATTAGGGGCCATTCCTTTTAGGATTTTCCAAGTGCAGATTATATCTCTCAACCGGGTTCCAGCGAGTACAAGTCAAGTGCTTCCAAGCGTTCCCAGTAGTTAAGGTGCTTGACAGAACTTATACGTGCAGTAAAGGTTCTCTGTACACTCTCTAGATCTGCAATTTCACCTGCTTTGAACGGAGATATTAATGTACAGCAATATTCCTGTTTTGAACGTTTTCATTATCCATCCTATCATTTTCTTCGCAGTTGTGATCATGACATTTTTGTGACCCTTGAAAGTGAGATCCTCAGACAGTACCACTCTCAGGTCCCTCACATTTTTTCGCTCTATTGTATGATGAGAGTTTGTAGTATACTCAATTCTAGTTATTATCTCCTCCAGTTTTCCATAACGGAGTAGTTGGAATTTGTCTTCATTGAACATCATACTGTTTTCCGTTGCTCATTGGAAAATTTGGTTTATATTTTCTTGGAGGTTAACAGTGTCCTCAATAGACGACAGCCTCATGCAGATCCTAGTATCTCTGTGGATTACAACTCTGATATGAGGATGAGGAACGGGATGGGGGCGAGTGCTGTGCCTTGTGGAACAGAGCTTTTCACTGTGGCAGCTTCTCATTTAACTCTGTTTACCGCTAATTTTTGTGTTCGATTGGTTAGGAAGTTGAAGATCCATCTCCCCATTTTGCCAGTTATTCCTTTAGCACGTATTTTGTGGGCTATTACGCCATGATCGCACTTGTCAAAGGCTTTTGCAAAGTCTGTGTATAATACATCTTCATTCTGATTTTCTTCCAGTGCATCCAAGACCATATCATAGTGATCCAGTAGTTGCGAGAGGTAGGAGCGACCTGCCCTGAACCCATGTTGCCCTGCATTGTGCAGTTTCTGGGAATCCAAGTGGTTCGCAGTCATGCTTCTTAGCACTCTCAAATATTTTTATGATGTGGGACGTTAGAGCTATAGTTCTTAGCTTATGTTTTGCTGCTTTATGGAGTGGGGCAATATCCGTTGTTTTTAGTGACTGTGGAATTTCACCTATGTCTAAGCTCCTTCTCCATAGTATATTTAGGGTACGCGAAAGGGGTTTCTGGCAGTTCTTAATGAACACAGAGTTCCACAAGCCTGGGGCTGAGTGCATGGGCATGTTGTCAATGGCTTTCTCAAAGTTTATTGGAGTTAGGGTAATGTCAGAAATTTGGCATACATTGATAAAGTTTTGAGGCTCATGAAAAATCATGTTTAGTGGCTTGCTAAACGCAGAGTCGTATTGGGATTTCAATATCTGATTGATTTCTTTGTTGTCATCTGCATAAGTCCCATCTTGTCTGAGCAAGGGCTAGATACTAGATGAAGTATTTACCTTGTTTATTGCATATGGAAAGAAATATTTAGAATTTCTTTCAATTCTACTAATCGCTTTTAGCTCCTCCTGGATCCTGTATGAGTCCTTTAATTTAATTCGATTCTTTCCACTTCCCTGGTCAACGCTTTCTTACGTGTACCAGATAATCTGTGTGACGAATTGTTTTGAAAACCGACAAGTTGAAGAATTGAGACACTTGTGCAACATATGGGAATCTTTACTGAAGAAACGTTTCGCCACACAGTGGCTTCATCATATTGTTTCAGACTATGGAACAATGCTCTTCTCCAGACTGAGGGACTGACCACCTCAAAACTTTAAGGTTGATGGACTGATTACATCGTCTTCAAGTCTCTTCTGCTTTTATCAACTTTTCTGTACTCGACTGAAGAAGCCTACTGTGTAGGCGAAACGTTTCGAAATAAAGATACCTAACTGTTGCATATGTGTCTTACCTAACAAGGAGAGGAGGAGTTTGAGGTAATCAGTCCCTCAGCCTGGAGTCGATGTATTCAGTCCACCAGTCTTGTAGAAAGTACACCACAGGCTGTAGATTCCCATACCTGGAGTTTACCTGGAGAGAGTTCCGGGGCTCAACGCCCCCGCGGCCCGGTCTGTGACCAGGCCTCCTGGTGGATCAGAGCCTGATCAACCAGGCTGTTGCTGCTGGCTGCACGCAAACCAACGTACGAGCCACAGCCCAGCTGATCCGGAACTGACTTTAGGTGCTTGTCCAGTGTCCAGCTAAACTCACGCACATGGCAGTTAAACAATACTGAGCCACTAAAATTACGTACATAGTAACTAAACTCACGTACTTTAATAAAAACATATATAAGTAACTTAACCTATGTACATCGTAGAAGTAACTGCACGTCCTTAATGCCTAAAAACACGCACATAGTAACGCAACTAACGAATATAGTAACTAAACTCACGTGCGTAGCAAGCAAACTCACGTACTTTGTAATTAAACTCAGACATAATAACAAGAAATTCTCTAAATACTGAGAATATTAAATAGAATATAGCAATGTATTAACAGGCGGTACCTTGCGGTACACACACAGTATCTTCTCACTGGTACATGGTACCTT